CTGGCGGCGAGCCGACAAACAGCTGATCAGCTGTTTGTTGGCTCAGCGCGGCAGCCATGTAAATGTAAATGAAGCCGCGATCATTTAAACTGCGGCTTCATTTACCTTTGCCTACAACCCTAATCTACATGCCTCTGCCGACAGAGGCATGTAGTCTAGACACAGCCTTACATTAAAATGAAGCTGGAGAATTAGCTTACATTCTCCAGGAGTGTCCCTTTAATCATTTTATGATTGTGCAAAGCAGTTTCTTCTAAGTTATAATAAATATTTTGTCCATCTGAGTCCTACAGGATCGCTTATGATAGACAGAACCAGAACCCAGTGAAATTACTTCACACGTGAGTGTTCACTGGAGCTATTGAAGGTGAAAGAGTCTGTCGTTTTCTCTTGCCCCCTACCTCTCACATTAAACAAATCTTACGTTGTTTAATGTCAACACAGCAGATTTCCCTAAATCATACAATAGACTGTAAATCTCCCTCAAATCACACTAAGCAGGTATCGATTGGACTGCTGAGTACACTACAGAAACATTTCAAAGACTTGAAACACGTGATTAGAGATGATCCTGAGTAGCATCGTTTTAATCTGAATCCAAATTTCTCCGAATTCCATGAGTGCTTGAATATGAGGGTTGCTTTGAACCTTTATAGGAACAGAGACCAGGTGCAAAGTTGAGATTTGGACAGTCCTAAGGTCCCTGCGTTTTGTTTCGGCACACCACATAGTCTGAATTTTAAAACTAAAACACTAGTATTTTCTACCAGAACAAGTAGCTAAAGCATTCAGCACAAAGTCATCCAGATGATTCACAAAAACGTTTATAACAATTCAAATAAACACAAGGAAAGGAACAAGAGGCAGCAAACGCCCAGAACATGAGCCAACTGTCTGTGCTCATTCCCAGTTTCGCTCCAGCTTTGATCACCCACCGGTCAATATCACATCCAAGCCAATATTACCTTTTGATAATCCTCTTTAGATTTCAGAGCAGCTTCCATCTGTTCCTGAGAGAACGTGTAGATGGCCGAGCGATATTGGGTGCCAAAGTCATTACCTTGCCGCATTCCTGGGAAGAGAGGAAGCCCAAGGAGCCATTAGGAGCATAGAATCGTAGAACTGGAAGGAACCTCTAGAGATCATCAAGACCCATCTCCTGCACCCATGGCAGGACCAAGCACTATCTGTACCACAGCCAGCTTCTTATCTACTAGGATTTCTGTGTAAAGATTCAATAGACATAATTTTAACAGATTCCGCGCATCTGGACTAGCAGGTCTCTATTTCTCCACAGTCTTTTGTATTTTTAGTTAGTCCATTCTTCTCCTGCTTAAACAGACATGAAGTGAGTCTATTTTGATATCTCCTATTAAATGGGATGTAAATTACATGTAAGCATATTATGTTTGGTAAACCACATAAGCAATCAAATACAGATGTAGAGCCTTAAAAACAGCATTGAGCAGGAGACATATTATGTGCTTGGTTCATTTTACTGTAATGAAGCTATGCCTAAAATACTTTATTTTGCATTATGCAAACACACAAATCTTTTTGGTTTTGCCAAGTGCTTTAAAATTTCCCTGAAATGAAGGATTATATGTTGCTGAAAAAAAGGTTACAATGCACTAGAAGAGGCCGGAAACCCGACTCTGTAATAGGGATGTTAGAGGTTTAATTTAATAATTGTGTAACTGCACCAAATCTTATCCGTTACACAATTATTCAATGGTCCCCGGGGGCGAGTTAGTGCACTCCCGTCCCCAGTCCCGGGGAGCCCCGGGCTGCCCCACGCTGCTGCCTCTGTAGCATGGAGCTCCTGGACAGAGGCTAGCTGGCATCCCTCCTGCCCCTCCCCCCTGCACTGCATCCTCTGATACAGAAGCAGCAGAGGGGGTGGGGGAGTGTGTGTAGTGATTTGGATTAACCGATAAGACCAGGCTTATCAGTTAATCATGTAAACGACACTACGCTAACATCCCTACCCTGTAAACTGTTCAAAAATGTTGATCATCCTCTAAAAAACTGTGAAGTGTACTTTGAGGAGTGACAGGTATACCTGGCTCATTACCTCACCTGGATGTAAAGGAGATAGGAGTGATCTCGTAAAAGAAGAAACATCCAGGATGTGGGCTAGGATGTGGGGACCCAGGCCTGGTGGGAAGGCTTGGCTGGGTTTTGTTCTGTTTGAAATTGAATTCCTCTTGGGAACAAAACCAACCACTCAGCATCCTGTCACTCAACTCGCCAACGGTATATGTTAATTGGGACCTGACTGACACACAGGAAGTTGACAGAGCGTGCCAATTAACTGAGTAGAGATATGGCCAAGGGGTAAATTGGGTGGAAGTAACCCCTCAGCAGCCATGACTATATAAGCAGACAGGAAGGAAGTGCAAGGAAGGAGACGTGGGAGCCTGAAGGGAAAAAGGAGTAGTAGGACTGGCTAGTGTACTCTTCTCCCAAAGCAAGCGGGGACGCTGGCTACCAACTGTAAATAGGATGTAACTAACACCCTAGGTAGTTGCCTGCTGAAGGGATATAATAAAGCACAGTGATGTTTAAGGAGACCAGGAGTTGTGGTGATCAGTTAGGGTATGTCTACACAGAAGGGCTAAAGCCAAAATAGGCTACGCAACTTGAGCTGTGTCAATTGCGTGGTTGAAGTCAAAATAGCTTATATCGGCTTTTGGCGCTGTCTACACAGCAGAAAGTCCGAGAAAGAGCACTCTTCCTCTGACTTCCCTCACTCCTTGTAAAATGAGGGTTACAGGAGTCAGAGTAGGAAGTCCTCCAGCTCAATGTTATTTTGACAACTGCTTGTAGTGTAGACACGGACTATGTTATTTTGGAATAATGTCAGTTATTCCGAAATAGCGCTGCTGTGTAGATGTACCTTTACTGAGGCTAGAAAGTCCTCCTGTTGAGATTTGTATTTGGACAAGTTAGGAAGGACACAGACACCAAGGTATTGGAGAAATCTCTATTGGAAAAGTAGTTTTGAAACATACATGCATTCATTTTTATGAAGAATATACACGAAGTAAAGTACACAATTCTAAGACCCACAATATCTTACTGCCCCTGTATAAAACTATGGTATGCCCACATCTTGAATACTGTGTACGGATGTGGTCTCCTCACCTCAAAAAAGATATTTTGGCCTTGGAAAGGGTTCAGAAAAGGGCAACTAAAATGATTAGGGGTTTGGAACGGGTCCCATAGGAGGTGAGGTTAAAGAGACTGGGACTTTTCAGTTTAGAAAAGAGGAGACTGAGGGGGGATATGATAGAGGTCTATAAAATCATGAGTGGTGTAGAGAGGGCCGATAAAGAAAAGTTATTTATTAGTTCCCTAAATAGAAGAACTAGAGGACACCAAATGAAATTAATGGGTAGCAGGTTTAAAACTAATAAAAGAAAGTTCTTCTTCACACAGCATGTAGTCAACCTGTGGAACTCCTTGCCAGAGGAGGCTGTGAAGGCTAGGACTATAATAGAGTTTAAAGAGAAGCTAGATAATTTCATGGAGGTTAGGTCCATAAAAGGCTATTAGCCAGGGGATAAAATGGTGTCCTTGGCCTCTGTCTGTCAGAGGCTGGAGAGGGATGGCAGGAGACAAATCGCTTGATCATTGTCTTCGGTCCATCCTCTCTGGGGCACCTGGTGCTGGCCACTGTCGGTAGACAGGATACTGGGCTAGATGGACCTTTGGTCTGACCCAGTACGGCCGTTCTTATGTATGTTCTAATATAAGACCAAATCCCAGTGGCAGACAGTGCTTCAAGGATTTGGCTTTCAAATGCTTGCATACACAAATCCTACATACATGTTTGCAGGCTCAAGGTTTGCGTCTATCTACTAGGCTCAAAAATAATGGGCTGAATCCTGTTATCCTTTCATAGAGGCCTAGAACTCAAAGGGACCCTCCTGAACTCAAGGCAGGACTATGCATTGTCTAGCCTAGGGCTACTCAATATGCAGCCCACAGGCCGCATATGGCCTGTGGCCCATTTGTTTGCAGCCTGCGGTGTGGTTTGAGTTAATGCGGGGCTCAACACGCAGCCCACAGGTGGGAGCCAAAACAAAAAAGTAGTTGATATGATGGTTTTCGGTTGATATGCGTTTTAGTAGTTAAATTCCTAGACTGTCATTGCTCATTAAAAGTGCTTATGGGTAGAAATCGGGTCACTATTGCATTTTATTAATATCAGCAGAACTGACTTAAATGGGGCCTGTGTGTTGTGCAGTCTTGCCGTAATGTTTGCATTCATACCTATCAGTGTGAAAGAAGCTATTTGCATATATTTGCATATATAGTTGCATGTACATGAAACCACACTTAAGTTGTGGCCCTCAGCATTGTGGCCCCCGGGGCTTCCAAAATTGAGTAGCCCTAATCCAGCCCCTTCCTGACAGATGTTTGTCTAATCTGCTCTTCAACATCTCCAATGATGGGGATTCCATAACCTGCCTAGGTAATTTATTGCAGTGCTTAACCACCCTGGCAGGAAGCTTTTTCCTAATGTCCAACCTAAACCTCCCTTCCTGCAATTTTTGCCCATTGCTTCTAGTAGGTTCCTCAGAGGTTAAGGAGACTACTTTTTCTCCTTCTCTGAAACTTTTTATGTACTTGAAAATGGCTACGTCCCTTCTCAATCTTCTCTTCACCAGACTAAACAAACCCAATCTTCCCTCACAGTCTTGTTTCCTAGACCGTTAACAATTGTGTTGCTCTTCTCTGGACTTTTTCTAATGTGTCCACATCTTTCCTGAAATGTGGTGCCCAGAACTGGACACAATCCTCCAGCTGAGACCTGAACAGCACAGAGCAGAGCAGAGCAGACGAATGACTTCTTGTGTCTGGCTCACAACACTCCTGCTAATACATCTCAGAATGCTTATGCTTTTTATTTTCGCAACAGTGTCACCTTGTTGGTCCACTCTGACCCCTAGATCCATTTCCTTCCTAGACAGTTGCTTCCCATTCTGTATCTGTGCAATTGATTATTCCTACCTAAGCAGGGGCATAAGCATGTGTGGGCCTGGGGGAGCCATGGCCCATCCACTTAGCATCCAGATCCACCTCCCTCCAGACTTGGCTCTGCTCCCACTAGGGAATGGGGGCCTGCTCATTTCTGCCTGGTGCTCCAGCTGGACCTGGGAAGCGGGGTCAGAGACTGTTCCTCTCAGGGAACAGAGTCGGGGCTTGCAAGCCCCCATGCCTGGACCCTGCTCCCCTGCTGGGAGCACTGGCTGGGCAGAGCAGAGCAAACTCCAAACCAGCTTCCCTGCTGGAGCACTGGGCAGAGCAGGAAAAGCCCCTGCACCTTGACCCAGCTCCAAAGTGGGAGTGCCTAGTGAGCGGAGCCGGGCAAGCCCCCGATTTGCCTCCCCAGCAGGAGAGCTCAGCAGGCAGAGCAAAACAAGCCTCGACCACCAGGTGGGGGCCCAGAGAGGGTAGGAGGCACAGACCTTGGGGCGCACATTTTATGGGCTCCCCAACTTTACTGAGGCCTTTGGCCAAAGTGTCTACCTCTCCCCCAAGGGTGGCTGTAGGTGGGGGAAAGACAGCCTCATCGCTTCTACTGCCCCGTCATTACCTGCCCACCCAAAGATGGGGCCCACTCACCTGTCCCATTCTAGAAACACCACTGTTCCTAAGTAGAGAAGTTAGCATTTGTCCTTACAGAGGGTGTATCTAGACTACGCTGGATGGTCGAAAGAGGATATGCAAATTCCTTAGGAATTTGCATATCTTCTTCCGATAGCATTTTCGAAAGTGAAAGTAATTAAGACAATTTTTCGGCGATCTTCCCCCTTCGTCAAAAAGCCGCTTTTCCTTAAAAAAGGAGGTTTACACGGCTTTTCGACAAAGGGAGGGGGTTCGCCGAAAAAGCTGTGTCTTCATTACTTTCACTTTCGAAAGCTCCGCTTTTGAAAGTGCGATCAGAAGAAGCTATGCAAATTCCCGCAGAACTTGCATATTCTCTTTCAACTGTTCGGCGTATTCTAGATACTCCCAGAATGTCATCTTATTTGCTGCAGGCCATTTCTCCAGTCTGTCAAGACCATTTT